GTGACAAAACACCTGGACGCAGGAGTAGGGGTTGATGTCATTTACTTAGACTTCAGGAAGGCCTTCGATATGGTATCCCACCCCATACTGGTGAACAAGTTAAGAGGCTGTGACTTGGATGATTACACAGACTGGTGGGTGGCAAATTGGCTAGACGGTCGTACCCAGAGAGTCGTAGTGGATGGGTCGGTATCGACCTGGAAGGCTGTGGGCAGTGGGGTCCTGCAGGGCTCGGTCCTTGGACCGATACTCTTTAATGTCTTCATCAGCGACTTGGACGAGGGAGTGAAGTGTACTCTGTCCAAGTTTGCGAATGACACAAAACTGTGGGGAGAGGTGGACACACTGGAGGGAAGGGAACAACTATAAGCAGACCTGGACAGGTTGGACATATGGGTGGAAAACAACAGAATGCAATTCAACAAGGAGAAATGCAAAGTGCTGCACCTAGGGAGGAAAAATGTCCAGCATACCTACTGCCTAGGAAATGACCTGCTTGGAGGAACAGAAGCGGAAAGGGATCTTGAAGTCCTAGTGGACTCCAAGATAAATATGAGTCGGCAGTGTGACGAAGCCATCAGAAAAGCTAATGGCACTTTATTGTGCATAAGCAGATGCATGACGAACAGATCCAAGGAGGTGATACTTCCCCTCTATCGGGCGCTGGTCAGACCGCAGTTGGAATAATGCGTGCAGTTTTGGGCGCCACACTTCAAGAGGGATGAAAGTGTTAATAAAAGGATTTATTCTATAAGTATCTGAAAAAGTCTAGTATCTTGTGCATATGAAAGTTTCTGTCCTTATGTAATTTTTCTCTCTATCACCAGAAGATCTGACTGGTTGCTTCCTTTTTGAGTAATTTTTTAAATAATACACCACTCTAGTCAATAAAATATGGCAAACTTTTTCTTGATTTAAAAATGGAATTTCTTGAAAATATTAGAAAACTGATGATAACTTCCATGCAAATTAATTTACAGCAAAGAAACTGCAGCATGTCAAGGCAGCAGGGGATGCATAGGAATAGAACAGGTGCTAGGTTAATATAACTCATGTGCTTATGCTACAACATAAGCACATGATGCTGGGGGTCATCATTGACCACAAGATGAACATGAGCCTGCAGTGCGATGCTGCAGCTAGTAAAGTGACCAAAATGCTTGCTTGCATCCATAGATGCTTCTCAAGCAAATCCCGGGACGTCATTCTCCCCTTGTACTTGGCCTTGGTAAGGCCGCAGCTGGAGTACTGCGTCCAGTTTTGGGCTCCACAATTCAAAAAGGATGTGGAGAAGCTTGAGAGAGTCCAGAGAAGAGCCACACACATGATCAGGG